ATCGGGATGATGGATGGGCATAATCACAATAGGAGGCGCTTGTTCTCTCAACAGCCCCCTGAGTTAGGTCTGATTATTCATATTCCCATTTTATTGGCTTTGAACACTGAGGCTTAGAGAGATTAAGGGACTCAGTCACTCAGCAGAGCCTGTTAGGAGGAGCACAATAAATGCTGATGGATGGATTGATTATGGGGGAAGCATACTAGGGTGGTAGAAAATGCTGCAGACTTTAACACCTGCTTTTTGAGGATAAGCCCATTCATTCATTCATTTGGTTGGTTGCTTATTTATCCATTTATTCAATAATGATTAAGCCTCAGCTCCTGCGCTGGGTACTGGTCGACACAGGTAATGAGGTCATCGTGATATGCTGTGGTCAGAGCTGGCAGGGGGACAGCCCAAGGCTCTGCAAGTGACCAGAGAAAGCCCCTGACCCAACGTGAGAGGTCAGAAGGCCTTTCTGGAGAGGCGGGGGTGGAGCAGCGGCTCAGCGTGGCTGGCAGGCCACAGGGGGATGCTATGGAATGGGGGGTGGCAGGTGGCTGCATGAACCCTTGATGGAACGAGCACCAGCACCCAGTGGTGGAAACTACCTCTCCCTAAGACTCTGGAACCTCTCTGCTCTTCCTAGCCCTTGGACGGACAGGACTCTGTGGGAGCCTGGGTCAGTCTGCCCCACCCCAGTGGGCAGGGACAGGGCTACCTCACCGCCGAGTGGCAGGCATTCCCGCTCATCTGGGCCCAGGGTCAGAGCTCAGTGGAAGGCAGGTGATCAGCGCCAAACCAGGAAAAAGCTAGGTGCTTGGCTCTGCCCTGCAGCCCTCAGCCTCTTTTCTCCTGTGGGACTCAGTTTACCCATCGATCAGATGAAGAGTTTGGACTGTGTACTCTGAGACCCCTTTATCACCAAGCTCATATGACTCAGTGTGTTATTATCCATATTAGGATTGGATGTAAGCCCTGGGGGCCTGGACTCCCTGCACTTCGCCTCTAGTCTCCTTTGGACACCTGGACTAAATGTGAAAAAGAAAAAAAAAAAAATCCAGAGGCTGGGCATGGTGGCTAATGCCTGTAATCCCAGCACTTTGGGAGTCCAAGGTGGGAGGATCACTTGAGCCCAGGAGTTTGAGACCAGACTGGGCAACAAAGAGAATCCCTGTCTCAACAAAAAATAATTTTTAAAAAATAGCTGGGTGTGATGGTGCACGCCTGTGGTCCCAGCTGCTGAGGAGGCTGAGGTGGGAGGATCTCTTGAGCTCGGAAGTAGAGGCTCCAGTGAGCTCTGATTGCGACACTGCACTCAGCCTGGGAGAGTTAGACCCTGTCTCAAAATTTTAAAAAATGCAGAGGATCTCCTGGCCTTTGATTCATGGGGCAGCCTGCTTTGTCCTTTGGCAGGTGTCCAGAATGGGAATCAAAAAGGAGCAGCTGCCCCCTGGGACTGCGATTGCATCCTCCCCCGCCTGGAGTTGGGCATTGTGGGAGACTACCCCCAACCCAGCATGCCCCTTCTAGAAGACCCCAGTGACACCGAGAGGCGGAAGACCTAGGCTCTGTTTCTGTAGAAGTGGGGATGGGCCGCAGTAGGCTGTTCACACTCCTTGGCTCAGCCACCTCCACCTCCACTCTCCCAGGAGCCCTCGGGGCAAGAGGCTGGGACGTGCCTGGTGCGGTGAGCTGCCACATATCGGGGAGAGCTCCAGGCCTCTGACCTCCAAGACCACAGACCTCTGGACCCCTGCAGCTGCCCTCCGCTCCTTACTTCTTCTCTATCCCACAGTCTCGCTCGTTTCAATCCCGCCAGTAGCTCCCATAGCAGCTGGAATGCCATCCAAAGGATTTCCCAGGGTCTTGAAGACTCCTGCCCTCCAACCCCTCTTCCCTTGCTTCACCATACTGGCCACCTTCCAGCTTCCGGAACATGCCAATCTCCTTCCCACCTTGGGGCTTTTGCTCTTGCTCTTCCCTCTGCCTGGAATGCAGGTACAGCATGCGTTGGCACCTGTCATTTAAGTCACTGCTCAGATGCTCCCTTCTCAGAGGGGCCTTCCCTGATCCCCCTAAGAAAAGCAGCCCTTCTCTGCATTATTTGCTATCACGCTCCCTCTTTCCTTTGTGGTCCATTCCCTGGGCTGTTGTGATCAATTGCTGGTTTGCTCGATAGCTGTCTTCCATACCCACTGGTGCACTCCAGTAGGGCAGGGACCTTGGGGATCCCATGACCATATTCCAAGCCCTTTCTGCAGAATGGCTGTGAAATAAATGTTTATTGAATGAATGAATGAAGCACAGCAATGCCTGTCTTCCTCCTTGGATACTTCGAGGCCCCATGAGGGAGAAAATGGCACTTATTGGGCACTGGTCACAGGTCAGGCACTCTTATCCTGTGGCATCTCTACATCCATGACATCCTGCCCCATTATACAGATGATGAAGTAAGGGCTCAGTGACCTGCCTGAGGTCACCCAGCAAAAGGTGGAATGATGGCTTCTTGCAGTTGGGAAGTAGCCAAGTGGGACCTGTGAGCATGAAGAATGCCATGGCAAATCATCGTCAGGATTCACTTCCGAATCTGACTCTACCTGAAGCCTATGTTCTTTACATGACACTACGCATTCTGCTGTGCTGGGACTCAGCCCGAGACTGACAACCAGGTTTTTAGGCTCTGAAAGGCAGGCAAAGACTGACTGGGTGGGGAGGAGGTCTGGCTTAGCGGTTATTGAATTGGACAGAGAGACCAGGGCTCACGCAGGGACCCCACCACCCAGGCCTGTGCATATTTGCCACCAGTTAGATTACCATTGGCAGGCTAGACTTTCCTTTGCTCTCAGGAAGAGGCTGCTGGAAGGATCACCGTCAAGGGTTATCCCTGAAAAACTCAGGGTCTGAGCTTCATCATGCAGAAGCCCCTGTGCTCCTGGGGCTGGCCTTTGGGTAGTGCCTTCCCCGCTCTGAGTGGTCACCTCTTAAAAATGGGCATGCCTACCAGCATAGAGCCAAAAAGAGCTCTTGGGAAGATAAAGAGGAAAAATGACTGTGGAGTTGTTGGTGTATATAAAGTAACATGGAAATGTAAATTATCTAAAAATAATCTCCTATGTGAAATGCAGAGAGAGGTTGGGACTTGGGAGACCTCTAGGGTTCTTTCAGCATTTATTGGCACCTACTGTGTACCAGGTGTGGTGCTAGGGCCTGTGCATATGAGGATGGGTCAGGTACGACCCTGAGCATCTGGAACTCCCTGTCAACTGGGGGAAAGGAGCCAGGTATACACTGCGTGCGGCTCTCTCCCAGCGCGGAGAAAGGGGAAGACTGTGTGATATGGCAGTAGGAGCCAGATGCACATGAGCTGAAACCCACCCCCTCCTTCCTGCGTGACCTTGAGCAGGTCAGGCCACCTCTCCAAGCCCCAGGCCTTCCTCTGTAAAATGGGGCCATCCCCTCTGCCTCTCAGAGTTGCCAGGACATGGCACGCAGTAGGTCCTGGGGTGGGGGACTTTGGGATGAGTGTAGCCCATAGTTACTAGGCAGGAAATGATGGTCCTGGGCTAGCCAAAGTCTGGGTCTCAGGACTTGGATGGTGAATTGCCTGCAGGAGTGTCGTGGGGACAGGGGGTGGACCCAGGGGATGCCGGGGAGAGAAGTGCAATTCCTCATGACCTGTTAAGGAAGTGAGGGTAGGGGGTGCAGAAATCCTGGGGAATTGGCCTGTGCCTTTATTTATGTTGGTAATTTCATTAAGGCGGAGGGGGCCAGGTAGTTCTACCCAAGGTCAGATCTGCCCAGGTAGGAGGGGGGCAGTGGGGCCACCTGAGTTTACTCAGCAAGAGATTCTAGGACAAGGCGCGCCCGGGAAGGCAGGGAGTCTCAGGATGAGTTTGTGGATGTGCTGAGTGTTTTCTGAGGCCGAGGTGGGATGGGGCTGAGGCCACGGGCGACTTCCCAGGGGGCCTGGGCCTGCCCCAGAGCAGTGGAGCAGGCAAGCAGAGGCAAAGCTGGCCAAATTTCGGGGAATTCAGGGTGAGGCAAAAGGAGAGGAAGTTTGGGGGCCCCGAAGGGCGACGATGTGGGGTTCCCCCAGGGGAACACTACTCTCCTGGCGTCGGCTGACAGGAGAGAGGTCAGTTGCCGGAGCGAGAAAGGGGAGCCTGCCCTCTATCTCCCGGCCGGGCTAAGTGGGGCGGGGCGGCCAGGAGGCCGGCGGCTGGGCTGGGGTCTGCGCCTTACTCCCCACGGGACCGCCGCGTCCGGGAGGAGCGGGGCCTGCGAAGCTCCGGGCCCGGCCCGGCCAGATGGAACGCGGTCCCTGGGCTGGGCACTGCGCGCCTGCGGCTTCTGCTCTCCCGGCGGCTGCGGGCGCTGCGGCCCCCGCGCCCCCAGGGGCCGGGCCGGGCGGGGGCTGGGCCCGGCGGGCGGGCGCGGGAGGAAGGGGGGGCGGGCGGCGGCGAAGGCTCCGCCGCTCTAACAGGTGGGATCCCGCGGCGTGGTGGAGGCGGGCGCGGGAGGAGGAGGAGGAGGAAGAGCCGCGGCAGCGGGAGCCTGAGCAGGAGCAGGAGCAGGATGAGCCGCGCAAGCTGACAGCCACTGCTGCCGCCCGCGCCCAGGCTCGGTCTCGCTCCCCGCGCTCGGGGCCGCTCCCCGCCTCCCGCCTCCCCCGGCCGCCCGCGGGGCGGCCCGCCCCCTCTGCACCTCCGGGCCCGAAGCTGCCTCCATCGCTCCTGCATCCCGGCCGGGGGGAGGAGGAGGCGGAGCAGGAGGCGAGCCGGAGCCGCCGCCGCCAACGCCGCCGCCGCCGCCGCCCGAGCAGGACAGAGCGCGCCGCAGCCCCGCGCGTCCGGCCGCCGCCCGCGCCCATCCAGCAGCAGCGCCGGAGCCACACCGCGGGACAGCCCCGGCCGCGGCGCGCCCGGGCCCGGCCCAGCACAGCCCAGCCCAGTCCCGGCACCGGGCGGCCCGGCGGCCGGCCCGCCCCCGAGGGCGCCGGGCGCGGCGGGAGGATGCCGAAGCCGACGCTGCTGCTGCGCGGGGGCTGGGAGCGCGAGCGCAGCCCCGGGGACTCGGAGCTGGGCCGCCAGTTCCGGGACTGGTGCCTGCGCACCTACGGCGACTCGGCCAAAACCAAGACAGTGACACGCAGCAAATACCAGCGGATCGCCGAGGTCCTGCAGGGCGGCGGCGGGACCGGCGCGGGCAGCGGCCCCGCAGCCGGCGAGAAAGGCAAGTTCCAGTTCTGGGTGCGCTCCAAGGGCTTCCGCCTGGGCAGCGGCCGGGAACCCAAGATGGGCCAAGTGGTGTATGTGCCGGTCAAGACGGGCTCGGTGAGTGCGCGCGCGGCGGCCGCGGGCGGGTCCCGCGGCGGGGATCAGGGCGGGCGGGCGGGGGCGGGGTGGGGGTGTGGATGTGTGTCCGAACGTGTGTCCCTGAGGTTGTCCGTGTGTCGGGCCGCCGGAGACGCACGCGTCCCTGCTCACCGGCCCTCCCCGGCTCGCCTGGGCAGCGCTCCGGGTTCGGGGCGTCCCTGCCCCCCTCCGCGCCGCTGCCCGGGCCGTGGCCGTGCCGGGCGGGCTGTCCCGGGCTGCTCACCCCAGCATGTTCCGTCCTCCCGTCCCCTCCCCCCGCCAGCAGGCGGCTGCTCTGGAGCCCGAGCCTCCCCCCACCCGCCCCGGGGCTGCCTGTCCCGGGCGCCTCGCGCTCCCGCCCCCGGGCCGGCTGGGCGGTGTGTATGTGTGTGTGCGGAGGGTGGTGCCGCGGGGTGGGGGAGAGGGAGGTAGGGGCTGCCGCGGGACGGGGACTCCTCCGGGCCTCCCAGCGCCAGAGGAGGGGGCCCGCCGGGGCACTGTCGCCCCGACCCCACCCGGGGCTGGCCCGGGGAGGGGCGGCCGGAGCCGCAGCCTGGCGCAGGAGCAGCCTCCCGCGGGTGGGTGGGGCGCCCCCTCGGCCCCCCGGGCCCCTCGCTCCCCCCTCCCCGGGACGGGGGCGGCCTGACCTATCCATCCCCTCCCCTCCCCCGTCCCCCGGGCCAGCCCGGTCCGGGCGGGGTGGCGTGGGGGAGGGGGCGGGGAACCGCAGCAGCCTAAAGGGAGGAGGCGGGCGGCCTGGCGGGGGCGTCCCCTCTGGCCCGGGGCGCCCTGGAGAGGGCGTGCTGCGCGGGCCCCGCGGCTCCCCCGCCGGGACCCCATTGTTCTGCAGAGGGTGGGGGCTGGGGGGGGCGGCCGCTCCCGGGGCGCTGCTGAGCTTTGAACTTTCCGTCGCTGAGACCCTCCATTAGTGCGTTCCGCCCCCGACCCGGTCGGGCTGCGCCGGCCTCCCCCCGCCCTTCTTGCTCCCTCCTCGGCCGGAGCGCAAGAGCCGGGCCGCCCCGCGCCGGCCTCCCTCCCTCCCCCGCTCCCCCGCTACCCCCTCCGCGCTCCTCCCCCGGCCGGCCCGCCCGCCCCGCGCTCAGCCCCGTCCCCGGCCGGAGCGGGCTCTTCACACACAATTGATTCGGTCGTTACGAAAAGTGCACTTGTCCCCTCCTCCTCCCCCTCCGCGGCCGCCCGGGCCGGGCCCGCGGGGTGAGGGGGCCGCGAGGGAGGGAGGCGGGAGCCGGGAGCAGATCCGGAGGCGCCTCCCCCCGCGCCCAGGGGACGGGGCTGCAGGCCGCGGGGAGTGGGAGCCGCGAGCGCAGAGGGCGGCTGGCCCATCTGCGAGGAGCGCTGATAACCGCGCTGCGGCCGCCAGCAGCCCATCTGCGCCGCTGCCGCCTCCGGCCGGACCGGGAACACTGGGCCGGGCCGAGGGGCGCGCCGGGACCGGGTTCCACGAGGGGGAAGCCGGGGCAGTGACCCAGCCCGCTCGAGGCAGGGACCCCCAGCCTAAATCAGCACTCTCGCCCAAACCCGGCGAGTCTGGGTCATTGACCCCTCCCCCGATCGAGTCCAGGACCCCTCCCCCAGCTCAAATCAGTGCCCACTTTCCCAGATGGGGAGTATAGGTCAGCCCTCCCCACCCTGCCAGGTCGGTCCCCTCATCGGTTCTCCGCATCTTTGGTCACTGCCCCCCGCCGGAGTGCGGTTTTTCTGAGGTCAGTGACCCACGAGACGGTTGGTTGGGTCCGTGCCCCCTACTCTGGGTCAGTGCCCTCTGCCATCAGGGCTTCCCAGGTCGGTGCCCCACCCTACCCCCCATCCTGGTTACAGCTCCCCGAAGAGCTGGGAGTCTTGGCCCAACATCCTGAATCTGAGGCAGGAGCCCTGAGTCCACCCTCTCCTGGAGTTGGGGGGTGACCCGCCAGACCTGGCTGCTGGCTCACTGGCTCTCTGTGTGGCTGGACTTCTCCCTAGGGAGTGGGCATCTGGAGCAGTCGTCCTCTACCCACACAGCTGTCGAGGCTGAGCACTCCTTCCCCCTATCCAGGCCACATGCAGAAACTGGGTGCTAGGCCTGGGCCCCAGGTCCTGCTGGGCCAGCTGCTGGCTTCAGAGGCTCCTTGAGACCCATGCTGACCTGCCCTGCCTGCCCCTGACAGTGGGACTGTCCTCAGCCTCCACCCTGGCTCTCAGACCAATAATGAGCCCTCCCCGAGGGACCACCTGCCCGAGAGGCAGAGAAAGGGGACCCAGTCCTCCCAGTGCAGGCTGCCAGGAGGACGACAAACACAACAGACATGCCCTCCCTCGACAACATGCCCTCAGGCTCCCCATGCCCGCCTGCCTGGCCTGCTGGTCCCCAGAGAGCCCGTTAGTTACCTGCCACTCGCCCAGCCAGCCGGAGCCAGCCGCAAATGCCCGAGTCCTGCCACCCCCATCTCCAAGTACCTTCCTGGGGCCCAGTTATTATTTTTATATTTCCATTTTCCTTTTCACTGATCCAAGAGGAACAAATCCTGCTGGGAATTCTGGGGCAGCCCTGGCCTCTTCCTGGGAGGGGCTGAATGGGACCTCCTTTGAAAGGTGCAAAGCACATCTACATTCCCTGGTGTGTGTGTGTGTGTGCGCGCACACACACACCCACCCACACCCTCGAGCCTGGTATCAGTTGGGAGAGAGCCTGTAGTTTGGTCCTCAGTGGGTTTTTGTGAAGGTCATTAGGCCGTAAACCTTTGTCCAAGGCATTTGTTAAGTACCCACAGGCCTTGTATGGGCACTGGGGTGCTGGGGTGGGTGGGGCTCTGTGCCTGCTTCCCAGGTCACCCAGCTGTCGGGGGCGGTGGGTATAGCTGAGGACAGGATAAAGAAGCCCATGGGGGCTTCAAAGGAGGGCAGGTAGAAAAATTCCAAGGAACAAGGGAGGTAGGAGTTGGGTCACCCAGCAGCGACAGGCCCCATAGAGCCTCTGTCCCCAGGGTGGCCATGGTGTGTCACCTCTTCCACATTGCTCTCTGGCTGCCCCCACCCTGGGCCTCCCTTCCTCCTCCCACAGCCATATGCGGTACTGCGGTCGGGGCCCTCTCCTAGTCCCGGCCAGCCTCGGGTCGATGATCTGACACCACTTGTCCCGTCCCATCTGGCCCTGAGCTTTTCTGGGTGTGTGTGACAAAGGCTTAATCTGTCCGGACGGGCCCAGGGCAGAGAGAGGGCGAGGGGAATTACACTCTGCAGGGCCTCCTGCAGCTGGGGCCCTGGTGGGGGTGGGGCAGGGCGGGGGTCGAGGAGAAGCCTGGGCGTCAGGGGAGAGGCGAGTTGGCCTTCAGTTTGCAGGTTGTCACAGGAAGTAGAAGGTGGAAGCAGGGGACAGAGGGGAGGAGGGCGGAGTCCTCCACGTGCAGCTAGGGGTGCTGGTGGGGATAAGATCTCTTTATGACAAGAGCCATCTGGGGACCTCCTGGCTGGGCAAAGCCGGGTGAGGATTTATTATTTCATAGGTTTGGCCTGCTTCAAATCCAGCCCCCGTGGGTTGCCAAGTTGGGGAGGCGAACCCCTTGGAGATGAGACCCTCCAGTTCCATTCTGGCATCAGCCACAAAGTCAAACAACCCCTTTTCTTTTCCTCTGGCCTCTCAGGAGCGCAGCCGTCCCCAGAGCCACAGGTTAGGACTGAGGTGGAGCCCTGGGCCATCTGTCAGTTCCTAGGATCAGAGATCCCAAAGGCTCTGTGGAGATAGAGGTTCTCAGCCCAACTGTACCATCTTCCAGATGGGAAAACTGAGGCCGAAAGAGAGGAAGTTTCCATCTGTCAGGAGCAAGGACTGGAACAGGGCTCTCTGTGCACCCCTGCAGCTTCTCCGTGGGCCTGTCACATCCAGGAATCCCACCAGTATAGCCCCATTCCCCCAGGGAAACTTCCAGATTGCCAAACTCCGCTCTCTACACCAGGCTTTTGCAAGCTGGACCCCAGGTGTTCCGCTACCCAAATTGACTAATGGTGGTCTTTTCCCAGTTTGCAACAACGTTCATTTAGTGGAAAGCATTTTCAGTCCTAAGTCTTTCTCCCCAGAGCCTTTGTGTAAACCTTTGGCACCTGCGGCCGCTGGTCTGGGCGGGAAATGGCCTCTGACTTAGCACTGCGTAATATGTGCTGTGACCTTTGCTTGAGTCCCTCAATAGTTCCTGGTTTTCTCTGAATTACCAGAACAGCAGCTGTTTCAGGGGTCACCTACTGTGTGCCTGTCACTGGGCTGAGGCGCCGATACGCATCAGTTTGTGGAATTCTCACAGCAGCCTAGAGGCCCGTGCTGTGATTACTGCTAGACTTCAGGAGTAAACTGAGCTAAGGGAGGCTCAGAACTTGCCCCCGGCCACGCCGATGCCAGGGGCCTTGCGTATATCTGACTTTGAAGGGTCTTGCAACCTGATCCAATTTGAAAGCATAGTTCTTCATGTCCCGCTTTCAGTCCATTACACTTTAGTCCGAATTAGTTTCAAAGCATCCCTCTGGTCAAGGTGTCTGTATTCCCAGGCTGGTGCCTGAGGCAGGACGGGCACAGCATAAAGTCTGTGGGCTTTCCTGGGGGTCACGAGCATGGGTGTGGGGTAGGGAGGAGGAAGAACTCCTCTGTTGTCCTGGGCCCTGTGGGGGCTTTGGGAAGAAGGTTGACAGTGGTGTCTGGCCCAGGGCCCATTTGCATTTCTTGTGAGTGGTGGAGCATGCGTTTTTGTCAGTTACACCTTGTGATTTGGGTGGCATGGTCCTGGGTAACTCTGGGGGGCTGCATTTTGGTGCCAGGGTGATGCAGATGGGTCAGACTCTGCCTTCCTGGGGCCTCCCCTCTAAGTCCTGGGTCACTCTCTGCTGAGGGGCGGGGGGGCACCGTGCACCCTTCTTCCTTGGGTAGGAGCTGGCAGGAAAACCCTCTCCTTTATGGCCGCTGCAGACTGCTTGGCTGTCCCTGTGTGTCTGGG